GTGTGTGTGTGTGTGTGTGTGTGTGTGTGTGTACAGAGCCATCGAGGTATGCTATGGAAAATGTTGCTCTTGGAACCACATGAAAACATCTAGTAAATAAGAGTGCCAAGATTGAGGATTTCCAAGTTAATCATTTCACAAGAAGATGCATTGTGATTTAGTCTTTTGGACAGATCCGTGTTGAAAGTCAAGTAAAAGCAATGAAGAAAAACAAACAAACATGAGGTTGCTACATTTTTAGAAGTCTCAGGATTTCTCTATGGCTTCCTTACCTGAAGTGATCCTGACTGTTAGGAAGTAGCCAGAATTGAAGGCAGGCTTCAATCCTGCCAATGGATCACTCCACTCAGGCAACAATAACCCCTTTCCCTTTCTGTCAAGCTACCTAACGCCAGTCTCTAGGTCAGCAGTGATTTATTGATTTCAGGGTTTTTTCTTTCTTTTGTGTTTTGCCTTTATGCCCTTGTTGAATCCAGATCCAGTAGCCAGACATAACATCGGTTCCTTCCGTGCCTCCCTTAACTGCTCGTTTTCATGAAATCTGTCCTGAACACTTTCAATTTTGCCTATCATCTGCTCTACTCTGCTACCAGAGAGTCAGGCACTTTAGCCACAACTGGGTGCTTAGAGCTGACACTTACCAAGAGCTTACTCTTTGCCAGGCAATTGTGTTAAATACTTCATTAAATTTCACTGACAAGAATAATCTCATAAGAATTCTAGGAGGTAAGTACTGCTATTTTCTATATTTTTACAAACGAGCTTAGGAAGGTTAAGTAAATTGCCTATCATCTCCAAGTTACTAAGTGGCAAGGCCAAAATCCAGGCACAAGCCTGGAGGCACTGAGCTGCTCTGCTTTATCGCCCATTTATTGTCTGTGTTTGGGGGGAACTTCTGCTAAATCCTTTGACTTTGTTCTTAAAACCCACGTAGACACCTTTCAGCCAGGCTACCTTTCAGTCTTGACTCTAGAGCAAATTTAGCTTCTGGTTTACTCTCCATTGGTCCTACTCTCTTCTGCTCCGAAGATCTCAGACAGATAAGTGGACCAACAATGTCAGAGCACTGGAGTAAATGCTAATATCTATAAAGAGTACAATGGGCAGAAAGCACCAAAAAGCCTGTGGTGGAAAAGCAGTTATATTCCCAACTCACAGCCATGAAGCTCCATAAGAACTCTCTCTCTTTCTCATGCACACCACACACACACACACACCTTCCACTTACTCTCTTTATATATTTCCCTCATTCTTATCCTTTATGCCTCCCAGAAACCTTTGAATTGCTGAATGAGAACATAATAAGATGTAGGAACAAAATGACCTATGAAGAGATTTTTCTTTGGTGTAGTCCATGGTTAATATAAATAAAATAAAAGCAACACAGGATACTGTGGAATAAAAGTAAGAATTACCCATGATCACTCCTGCAAGTGATAACCAGTATTAATTCTTCCAGCTTTTTTAAGCATACACAAATTTTATTTTTATATGTCTCCACACCTGAACACTGTATTATGGCCATCTTTCAGTCAGATATCTGTATGTGTTATCATTTTCACTCTGCAAAAATATCGTGCCATATACTTTCTGTATTATTCTGA